GCTGCCCAGGTTTAGCCCTTTTGCTTTCTCTGCAAGAAGGTCTGCCCCCAAATCAAAAGCCAGTTTGGGATAAGCTGACATTTTGATTATAATAAAAATGTTCATAATAAAAACAAAATCTCTCAATCTTTAAAAGCAGATTTTTAATGCTTCTGTGCATCATTGACATTCTACGTACACTGAGATTTCAATTGAGAATGAAAATAAGGGGCAAAAACTGTTTGTTCCTGCAAAGAGAAGCTCAGAATGATCCAGTGACATTGGGGTTTCTGTTTATCCCTAAGGCTCTACAGCAATGGCTTCAAAGTTAGATGTTGTCTTTTTTCTTCTTCTTCTTTCTTACTTTTTTTTTCTTCCAAAGATGTTGAGCAGCAGGCTAATGGCTCCTCAGCAGGGTGCAAAGACAGCAGAAAGCTCTGGAATCAGATGTCAATGTGTTCCTAGGAGATACCCTGCTAGGACAGAGCTAACTAACCAGGGCTTTAGTCTCTCTTGGGGCCCATGCTTGAATGGCTCCCTGCCCACTCTCAGCTTCCTATATGCTCCCTGATTAAAATGCTGTCACAGATAAATCATGACTTCTCCCTCCCTCCTTTCTTTCCCCCATCTTTCCTTCACGTTTTCTTTCCCTCCTCTCTCTGTTTCAGAAAAGTTTAAAGATTACAAAGATGAATAAACCCTGCAAAACTACCTACTTGCATATGTAAGTAAGCGTTCATGGAACTGGGCAGGTCTTTGGCATGCCCTCCCGACCTGGCATGCAGCAAGCACTAAGCAATGCCTTAGCCACATGTTCTTATTCTCCACTAGAGATGTGTTTACAATACATGAGCTGAACAGGGCCACCACCACTTTTGGCGTTACTGATTACCTAGTTATCACTAAGAATTAAACCCAGGACAGATATACCAGGTAGGCACTACATGCTGACTTATACCTTAGCCCTATATGTTTTCATGTATTTTCTGTCAGTCCCTTTCAATCAATTACTTGATGACTTCTGTAACTTCCTTATAAATAGATTGATTATTTTGGGAGTTCCACATTGCTTTTCCCTAACAGTCAGAAACTGACTAGAAATTGAAGCCTCTCACATATAGTTGTGATTTTCAATGCAGTGAGTAAGTGTGCATTCCCACCTGGAAATAGAGATAACGGGCCTTCAGGTAGTTAAGAGTAGTTGCTTTGCTACTCTATCCTTTGCTTGGAACAAAGACGAAACTGAGCTCCCAGCAACACCACAAGCATAGCCTGATCTATTAGGATATTTGACAAGTACAGCCATTTAAAATCACCAAGTAAAACCAAACTATCCAGTGAAAGTCAATGAAGTAAAAATACTGCACTAAAGCCATATTCACATCTTCAACTTAGCCACATGTATACCTTCTCCTCCTCAACTCCCAATTTTGTCCTGTCCTGTCGAACCCTATAACCCTGTAGCTGCCTCTAACTTCTCTAAATTCCATCTATTCCATGCTGTTCCACTTGCAGGATGGCCTATCTCCATGAAAATCTATTTGCTTACGCTCTACACAAAATTTCTTCCTATCTATACCTACAACCTTGATGTGGGACTGAGGCTTTGGCCACTAGAGAGGGCTTTGTCTTTGATGTTCTATTCTGTGCCCTTTGCCTTGGTCCCCAGTCTACTACCTAAGAAGGCCTTGGTGGGTTCTTGGGCTCTGAATTTCAGAGCATGTCATTTCAGTCCATTCACAGCAAGGATTCTGCCACCTGCATTCCTTCTTTTTGCTTTCCATTTCTCAACTCCTGGCTGTTGCTCTTCCATGTTTCAAACCTCACGCTGGTCTTTGAGAAACATCTGAGTTGTTTCAGCTATGCTGTTTTAGTACCAGTGTCATATCAGTGACTTTCCTTGCTTGTCATTTCTTTTAGAATTTGTCTTCTCACTAATGACAATTCCCTCCCCAGTGACTGATTCCATTTCAGGAACACCAACAATTAATGTGATGTTATCCAGCAAAATCATGAGGAAACCCCCATTGCATAAGATGGAACATAGTAGGAACCCTCACAGAGGTTATTTAGACTAACCACACCTTCAGTTTGAAAGTACTTTTTGTTGTTGTTGTTGTTGGTCGTGGGGCCTGAACTCTGCCTGGGCACTGTCCCTCAGCTCTTCAGCTCAAGACTAGCACTCTATCACTTGAGCCAAGCACCGCTTCTAGCTTTTTCTGCTTATGTGGTGCTGAGGAATCAAACCCAGGGCCTCATGCATGGAAGGCAAGCGCTCTACCACTGAGCCACCTTCCCAGCCCTGAAAGCACTTTTGAAAGTTGATTTCAAATCTTGATAAAAAAAAATGTACAGGGAGAAAATGAGGGAAGAAGTGACAGTGTTCAAAAAGAAATGTACCCATTACCTGACTTATGTAACTGCAGCCTCTCTGTAAATCACTTTTATAATATTAAAAAATAAAAAAGGAAAAACTGTACAAATAAAATTGTGAAAGTAAATAAAAATAGTGGTGATAAAGAATTTTAAAACAGCAAGATTTTAGTCCTGTGTTAAAGAAGAACTACACTATGAACTTTTGTAAACAGCTGTTTCCATATTCCCCTTTAGAGTAGCATTCTCTTCCAAGAGTGAAAAAGCCAGGGAGAAATTTCCATGAATGGTAAGAGGCTGAAGCTGGGATCCTTTGCCCCAGAACAAAGGTTATGGATGCCCAGAACCCAATTCTGATGTATTGTTTAACTTTGTATATGTTCCTTTCTTGCTGGTAAAGATAGATAGATAGATAGATAGATAGATAGATAGATAGATAGATAGATAGATAGATAGATAGATAGAGATAGATAGATAGATAGATAGATATAGATAGATAGATAGATAAAACCTCTCAGATGAACAGTAAATAAAACGGATGTGGAAAAGTCAGGATGATGTGGTAATAATACTTATTCCCTACATCTGTGAAGATACAATTTTCAGTTTAAATTAACTTCCTTTTTTTTTTTGGTGCTTAGGTTTGATGCTTGAGCTCAGGGCTAGGGTGCTGTCTCTGAGCTTCTTTTGCTCAAGGCTAGAGCTTTACCACTTGAGACACGGCTGTATTTCCTGCTATTTTTTTTTAAAGTAGTTTATTGGAGGTAAGAGTCTCACAGGTTTTCCTGCAAAGGCTAGCTTTGAACTGCGATCCTCAGAACTTAGTCTCCTGAGTAGCTATGATTACAGCATGAGCCAGTGGTTCCCTGCTTAACTTCCTTTTCACCCAAAGATTTCAAAGTATTTAATAGGAGGTACATGGTAATTACAATAATTGCTCATTGAGTCAGCAATGCGACAAATTAACATGCAAAAGCTTATGAGGCTCTTTCTTAGCACTTACTGTAAGTAACCCTGTGGGAAGACTATGTATATTTCTGGGTCATTTCAAAGTAGCTTTGCAAAGTAGTACCCCATATTAAACAACCACATAATACATGTCTTCAACCTCCAAAGTTTTACTATTGGTAAAAAAAAGATAAATCTCATTTATTGTCTTAAGTATGCACAGGAAACTGAGTAACATTAAAACAAAATTTCCCCTGGGCAGCCAAGATCAATTGAGCAAAGGAAGAGATACCTGATCTAGAAGCTATGGTCTTCACACACGGGGCCAACTAGTGCAGTAACATCCATGATGGAAGGAGCAGACAAGATGGAATGAAGGTTGAGGATCCCCTTGATTAATAAAGTACACATCATTTTCATCCCTCCCCCTTTCATTATTATAAAGGAACATTGTGATCATTTGTAACTAAAGTAATTGATTTTAACTTCTTTGAAAGCTCTATCTGGTGAAAACGATGCTGGCAGGCAATTAATGGGTCACAGAAAACAAAAATGAGTTTTTGTTATTAATTGTTAATAAAACTTACATTTCCATCTTTTAAGACAGTGTTCTAATTTGTTTGTTTTCAGGGTACTGTGACAGGGCTCAGCAGTTCCTAAAAGTACTGAAAATAATGTGGCAGCTAAGTTTGAGATTTAATGGTCATGGGGTCCTTAAAAAACAATACTGGGTTTTTAATGGAGTTCCACAGAGTGAGAAACTAAAGAGGTTTGCTTTCCCTGCGTGTTTCTTGCTTTGAAGTTAGAAATGTGGCTCAGTCTGATTGAGCTAGGTTGGGGGTAAAGAACTTGCCAGGTTTTACAGATGAAAGCAAATGGTTAGCAGTGGAATTAAAAACCAATGTACACAAAACTGTTAGTGTTTAACGGATGCCAGTCCTCACTGGTACTCAAAAAGTGATGTCTGAACCATTCAAAGCCGACCTGGGTCTCCTTGCCAGGAGCAGGTTTGCACACCAGGCAGCCTGGTATGCAGAAATCATTAGTGCAGCTCACTTAGAAGTCACTGGTGGGAACTCTCCCACATGCTTCTCAAAAAGAGGCAGAATTACATGGAAGGTGCTTCCTAAAGTTTGGGTGGTCCAGATCAAGGGGTCAGAGCAGAAACCACGTTTCATGGAAACCCCATGTCTCTCATGACATTAATAAAAGTGAAAGAAAAAGTGGTTAAAAAAAGAAAACGAAAAACAATTCCATGGTCAAATATATTTGAAAAACTGAAAGTTAAGCAAGGTTAAACATGTTTCTTCCCTGCCTCCTTCTTCTCTAGGCATGCAACATTTTAAGGAGAATGGGATTTCCTTTGTTACTAGCTTGCTGGCTGGTTTTGAAGAGATAGGTAGCTGTTAGACAATGTCTACATACTGTGATCCAAGGGACACAGCCTGGGAAATACTGAAATAAAATATTATTATCCTTGGTTTACAGAAGAGGACGATGAGGCTCATGGAGAAGATGGTAGAGGTCTCAGGCCTGCAGCTCCCTAGGACCAACTCTTAGGTCAGAAATTTGAGAAAAGACAAATTTCAAAGTACATACCCTGAAAGAGTCTCCTCAAACCAATGCTTCTGAAAGTGCTTGACACATGCTTTCTTTACTGACTCAGTGAGGACGGGCAGAGCCTCCCAAGTCAAGATTACCTGATACAAGGGCATGCAGATGCTATCAATCCACTCCAGTTGCAATCGAGGCAGTTCATCTTTCCGGTTCCGGTCAAAAATAGCCTAGAATGGAGGAGGAGAGCTTTGCTTTACTACACTGGAGTATTTTACAGGGACTTTGTCAAACACTGTCACAGTGGTCCAATTTCTACCAACTGAATACTCACATATCACCATCAATATATGTACTTTCTTTTCCTTTATCTGTGAGGAAAATCAAATATTTTCACCCTTAAAAACAGATTTGTAAGTGAATATATTTGAACTTTATAGCACACCCTGGGAGCTATGTATGAATCCAAGGGAAGGGGACATATTATACTGTCACAAAAATAATAGAGGACTTTTATTTTTACAATGAGAGGGTGGTTCAGAAAAGGATAGATAGAAAAATGTTCTTAAAAACATTTTTTTAAAAGTAGAGACCAAGAGCATCACACAAATAAATTAATAAGTTGAATTGAAATTCTTTTGACCAACTACTTAAATATAATACAGGATTAAAAAATAGAAACCATTTACATTATATTTTGAAGGTGAAACATTAGTTTGGTAATTATATAAAATTTTCAATAAGATTCTGTCATGAATAAATTCCTATGTATGGATGGGTGGAAGTGGAAGGCATTCAATCTCTTCACTGCCCCCTTTAATGATGTTATAAAATTTGATATAATTTAGGTATATTTTTGAATAAAAAGAATGACATTTCTGTTAGGAGTCTTGGCGGGAAACAATTGGAATCGGAGGAGTAAAATATACAAAGTCAGTTCTATGCCAATAAGAATGCCTCCCTTTGTTCTTCAAGAATAAAGCCAGAGCCTAAGAAGCTACCTGTGCTCTTATTGGTTTGGCAGAGAGCACTACTGAATTATATCTCATCTCACCTTATCCTCTCAGAGGAGGACTATGTCTTTCCTCTAGGTAAAATGTGGTGTTCACATGGTTTGGCATTCTTTCAGGTTATGGAGGCACATACAAGCCATCTCTTTGGTTCAGAGATGTTAGAAGAGCATGCATTCTTAAGATTGAAGGAGTGGGGCAGAAATCGCTAAATATAAAATGTGAAATATTCAGAAAGAAGACTGGGATTCAGAGAAGACTGCAAAATATGCCGGAGAAAGTGGTAGTTTTTGTGACTCACCTGAATGTTGGTTCTCTAAAAACATTCATATACAATTCTGTTTTAGATTACTATAATAAAATACCAGAGGCTGAGAAATTTTAAAAAATCAGTTTATGTAGCTCATAGTTCTGGAGCTTCATGGCTCTATGTTTGTCATGGTCTCCTTGCTGCGATTCTTGAGGTAGCATAAATTATCACACGGCAAGAGACAGGGCATCCACATGTGTGCCTTTCGCTGTCTCTCTTTCTGATGAAGCCACTGTGACTCAGATATGGGGAAGTGAGCGCCACCCTAGTGACTTTCTCTAATCCCAATCTCCCCAAAACCCTACACTTCTAAATATAACCAGATTCAGTTTCCAGTCTCTGAATGTCTTACCATGGGGATAAAATTTCAACATATTCAGTCCTGAGGGACACATTTAAACTATGTTCAAACTGTAAGGTTTTATTCCATTTTCTCTACAGCTCTTTCTACTATCTGAAGTATTTATTGTTTGTTTACTGTTTCTGATGGGTATTATATACAAATACTTGAAAAATTCAGTCTTTTAGTCCCAATTGTACAACTATTCCATAAATGATTTTAGAACTTGAGTACTGTCGCCAAAAGCAATCATGCCAATACTAATAACTCTTCATTTCATCTTGATCATCTAATCCTAGACAGTCCCCACTAATGTACCTTCTGTAAAGATTTGCCTATCCTACATGTTTCATAAAAAAGGAATCACATCTGTACTCTCTTGTGACTGGATTCTTTCACTTAGTATAATAATTCCAAGGGTCATTCATATAACATGCATCAGAACTTCATTTAACTTTTTTTCTGCCTCATGATGATATTTCATTGTTTAGACATACCAACTTTTATTCATAGACATATGAGTTGTTTCCACATTTTGGCTATTCTGATTAGCACTTCTATGAACATTCATGTGCAAGTTTTTGTATGGATGTATGTTTTTATTTTGGGGAGACGGGGGATATATTTAGAAATACAGCCCTGGGTCATTTGGTAACTTTATGTTAATTTTTTTTTTTCAGTTGTGGGGCTTGAACTCAGGGTCTGGGCTCTGTCCCTGAGCTCTTCTGCTCAAGGCTAGGGCTCTACCACTTTGGATCACAGTCCTACTTCTGGTTTTCTGGTGGTTAATTTGATATAAGAGTCTTATAGACTTTTCCTGACTGGGCTGGCTTTGAACCATGGTTCTCAGATCAGCCTCCTGGGTAGCTAGGGTTACAGGTGTAGGCTACCATATGTTTAAATTTTGGATAACTACAAAGCTGCTTCTCAGAGCACTTTCCCTATTTTACATTCCCACCAGCAATTTATGGAGATTTAACTTCTTCACAACCACACCAACATTTGTCATTATCATTTTAATTATAGTCCTCCCAGTGGGTGTGAAATACTACTTCTGTATGGTTTCCATTTGCGCTTTCCTGATATCTAATTATTTTGGTCATCTTCATGTGCATTATTAGCCATTTTAATATTTTCTTATAAAAGATATCTATTCAAATCCTTTGCCTATCTTTTAGGCTGAGTTGACTTTATATTTTTGCTACAGTAGTTCTTTTCATATTATAAATATGAGGTAACTATTTGATATGCAATTTGTAAATAATCACACTTTTTGCAGATTATCTTTTTACTTTCCTGGTGGTGTCCTTTGACACACAGAAGTTTTTAGCTTCAATGAAGTTTCATTTAGTTTTGGTGAAGTCCAGTTCAACACCTGTGAACGAGCATCTCTGGATCATTCCTAATTTTGTTTCTTCTTGTAGCTTCTATATAATATCTCAGACATCATTGCCAAATCAAACTCTTGAAGATGTCTACGTATATTTTCTTTAAAGATTTTATTGGTTTTGCTTTTACACATGTCTGTGATCCAGTTTGTTTGTTTGTTTTGGAGTACGGTGAGTGGAAGGGCACTCACTTCATTCTTTTTGCCTGGAATAGTCAAGCTGTTCCTGGACCATTCATTGAAAAGACTTTTTCATGAATGTCAGACAATGTCCTGACATTCCTGTTGAAATCTCTTGTCTTGGACTAGTCACTTCTTAATCAATGTGTGACCTAAGAAAAATGAGTGTAGGTACAGTATTGTGCTTTCCCTTAGCAGCATTTTGCATCTGGTATTTATTACTGATTACTTCCCTAGCTGGTTGACAAAATCTAAGAGGGCAGGGGAAATCATGCCTCTCTCATTTCTGGAGGAACAGTGCTTAGTTCCATGCTTGGTACACAGAGGTACTCAATCACATTTTATTAACTCACTGCTTCTAGAATTATCCTGTCTGTGGTCCAGATTAGCTTTTGTCTCTAAAAGTTACTGTGATAACCTCTAGGACTGTATAACATATGGAGGGGAGGGAGAAGTTCCAGGACAATTTTCTTCCTAAATGTCAAGGGAAGGTGGACATAGTGGATGTCAACTCTTGGTGAATGCCCTTCTAGAAGCTTTTGGAAAGGCTTGTCTCCTGAGGGGAGACAATTGTGTGCTGTGGTAAGTAGCCTTTTGTGAATGTAGAAGAGAATTTGGAGCTGTTTCCATCACAAAATTAATTTCATTATGTCTTCAGAACAGACCTTACCTGAGACTACAGATAAAGGCCCCTTAGTTCTGCCCTGCTGCTCCTGTCTGCTCACTGATGCCAGCAATTTACTCTTTTCTTTCATTTAATTAAATGACCTGTGGTATTGCTTCACTATAAACCCTTCAAAATATGCCTCTGAAACAGCTTTTAAAAGGAAGAAAAAAAGTTGTTATTTAAAAGTAGATATGTAGCTGAGAGAAATTCGGGTTATATTAGGTTTTCCATATAAACTGAATATATCCTAATTTAATATCTTTTCTTTTTTTTTTTTTTCTTCGGTCATGGGGCTTGAACTCTGGGCCTGGGCTCTGTCCCTGTGGTCTTCAGCTCAAGGCCAGTGCCCTACCACATGAGCCACAGCACCACTCCCAGTTTTCTGGTGGTTAATTGGAGATAAGAGTCTGACGGACTTTCCTGCCTGGGCTGGCTTTGAACCATGATCCTCAGATCTCAGCATTCTGAGCAGCTAGGATTACAGGCTTGAGCCACCAGCGCTCAGCTAATATCTTTATTTTTATAACCAAATTTAGTAACACTGCTAACAAAGACTGGTATGTGTTTCAGTCTGTTTAATCTGGCTTTTATTAGGTAAGTAACTAGTTAAGAATAGTTGAAATCAGCTGGGCACTGGTGGCTCACACCTGTAATCCTAGCTACTCAGGAGACTGAGCTCTGAGGATCATGGTTCTAAGCCAGCCCAAGCAGGAAAGTCTGTGAGACTCTTATCTCCACTCAACTACCAAAAAAAGCTGGAAGTAGAGTTGTGGCCCAAGTGGTAGAGCATTAGTCTTGAACAGAACAAGTTCGGGGATAGAGCCTAGGCCCTGAGTTCAAGCCCCAGGACCAGCAGAAAAAAGAAAAAAAAGAGAAAGAAAAGATTCATTCTCAAATAATAATTGAAAAGTTGAATCCAGCATTCTAGCACCAAAACCTAGTTCCTTAGGTAAAAATTTTCATTTTGCAAATAACTTGGTTGGAAATGATTTGCTTTTGAGATTCTGAAAGCTCTAAACTTTAGGACAAAAATCCAAGTCCATGACAGAGGACCACTTAAAGGCAGGTATGAAATGCCAACTCTGGGTCTGATCTTTCAAGTTCCACTTGGCACTTCTTCCTTCATGCCTACTTGTTTGCCCCATTGAGGGTGCTCAGGAAATGCTTGTTACATAGCATGCCACTTTTAGGCAGAAAGCTGGGCATAAGAATGTTTAGCATTTAAGCTTAATTAAAGTTTAAAGCTTTCAAAGTCTTTTCTTAAATCCTTTCTCAAGCTTTTCCAATTTTGAGTTGTGATTTGGAGTTATTTTTGGAAATGTCATTTAGAAAGGTAAATGCATGATAATGAAGGCATGACATACTGAAGGAGTGAGTTTAAGCTCTGATCTTTCTCGATCTCCTTGTTCGAAGAACTCACTAGTCACAAGTTCAGCCACCTGAAAGACAGAAATATTTTAACTTATGTGTGGTTCATCATGAGACTTGGAAGTTAGTTCTGGCTTATTACATGGCAGTTATCTTCAACACCAACAGTCATTTAAAAAGCTGATAAGAGAGTATATTAACCTTTTGTGTTGTAGAATTTAATCAATAAAACTGATTTCCTTTTAATGGGAACCTGTGCAATGTACTTTTAGATGCATGCCAATGGATAATCTAGAAAAAGTTTCTATACAGAAAAATGAAACAATAATTCAATCATATCATATCTTTTATTATCATATTCTTTTATTATATGGTAATAATCATTTTTATTTGTCTTTCTAGATTCTTGTGTGTGTGTGTGTGTGTGCACGCGCGTGTGTTGAACCCAGGGCTTCATTCTTTCCCTTAACTTTTTCACGCAAAGCTAATACTCTACACTTGAACCACATCTCTGCTTTTGACTTAATTGGAGATACGAATCTTACAGAATTTTCTGCCCAAGCTGCTTTCAAACTGCAATCCATAGAACTCAGGCTCCTCAATAGCTAGGGGAATAGGTGTGAACCATCAGTACCTAGCTTCTATGTAAATTCCTTACTGAGCTCCATACTTTTATCTCAGTCTGACTTTATCTTGTAATGATAAATCCATCACAACTTCCTTCTACTAATATTTGTGTGCACTCTGGAAAGGATAATCTCAGAGCATTCTCTACTTTCCACTGTAGCTATCAACCAAGAGGCAAGATTAATGCAAGCTTCCTAGGTCATACCAGACCTTCTCATGTTGTTATGATCTAGTTTGAACAACAGTCTTTGGGCTATCTGAATCTGTACTGAAAGTGTTTATGTATGGCACACTCTATTTGTTGCAAGCACACTGGAATGGATATTCTTCCTTAGACCACTGACAGCTTTGTTTTCCTACCTTTCATCCATTAGTGTGGATGATCAACAGCCAAGCTAAAGAGATTATTTTATCTCCCAAAGACTTTCCTTCTCAGCATTTTATTTTGAAGGAATTGATCTAACAAATAAGTGTTGAGAAGTAACAATAACAATATGATGTGCACCAAGGAAAGGTTTGGATGAACTAACTGGATTTACAAAATATTGGAAGGAAAAGGGAAAAAAAATCTTAGACAATTGATGGCAAGAAGACCTGGATCCCTACACTAGGATTTCTTTGTCCTGTGCTATTAGAAAGATCAGGTCCTATGTCTGGTAAGTGAGATGAGTTTAATTTTGGTCAAGGATACTGACTCAAGATATTTACATTATATATATATATATATGTAGCTCAAAAGATGGATCACAGATAAAACTTAACTATCTTAAATACCATATCTTCCTGAAATACAAGAGAGGCAAGGATAAAACCATCTATTAAGGGGAAAAAAATCCACCAATATCCAGTAAGGTCAGATTCTTTCAAGAATTTAGCTGCATAAAAGTAGCAGGATATACCAATGAATGGATAAGAAAATGTGGTATAATGCCCAATGGAGTATGATGCAATCATAAAATAGAATAAAATTGTCACATGCAGGGAAATGGATGGAACTGCAGGTCATTGGGCTAATGGAAATAAATTAGACTTACAAGATTTTTTTCCTCATCTGGATGTATGTATGCTTGTATATGTATATACTTATGGTATATATTCACATAAAAAGGGGGCTGTATGAGGAAAGCCACCAGTGGGCAGGAAGGAGATGATGTTGGTAGGTAAATAACAAAGTAGATTATGAATTTGTGAAAATAATACAATGGAATCTATTTAAATTGTATAAAAAGGGAGGAAGTTGGAGGAGAATAGAGAGTAATAGAAGGAATAAATTTGATCCAAGTACATTTGATACATGCATAGAACTATCACAATGAACTCCCCTTTGTACAATTAATATGTGCTAATTTAAAGAAAGTAATTGAAAGTGACTCAAAAGATTGCCTTCCCACCAGCTGACTATATAGTCCTTTGGCTGGTATGTTGTGTGTTTTCTAGGACTTGATTTAACTTTTCCTAAAATGCTACTGCCTTTGATTTTAGCATCCCAAGTCTCCATGCTCCAGACTTCCTTTAAAGAAGAAAACATACCCATAGGGTTTCTCCTCATTAATCCCAGAACTATACCTCAGCTAGCTCTGAAGCTGGGTCTTCTACATTAAAAAATGGAAATGTGCACATCAAGTGCACCATGGTTGGGAGTCCCGCACAGATCTACAGCCCTTGGAAAGCAGAGAAATTAAGACAAAATCCTGCCCTTACTCCTTCTAAAGAGGTCCTGAGTATCTCCCCAGTGTTTCTTTCACAGCTTAACTTGTACCACTGTTTTGTTTGTACTTAAAAACCCAATCAGGAACATTAAGTCTCTCCTGATTGAACTTTTTATTAACGAAGGAAATTGGGATGCTAATCAGTCCTTGGGGATTACTGGAGAAACTCACATGCTCAGTGTCATATTTCTGAGGAGGAAAAGTGAATAGATTAAAGTGTTTTTTTTTAAGGCATTTTGAAAAGGAATTTAGAAAAACATCTGAGAAGTTAGAAATACATTTCTATTTTTAAAAGAAGGCCTCAGTTATGTCCAAATCTTTCCTGAAATCAAGAAGGAGTATAATTTAAAAAATATTTTAACCTACTCAATTTAGAGACAAACATGAATATGACTTGTCACAAGAATCCTGATGGAAACATTTGTAAAACCATAATGATGTTTTTATTTTCCTGGACTCTTTCTTGGTTTTCTACACTTAACAGTGGAACTTCACATCAAGAAATATAAAAATAATATTTATACCATTAATTGAGTAGAACACTTAGAAGTGTCTTCTGAGCCTCCCATGTTGATCTAAAATATCAGTGTAGAGATTATTTTTCTTCCAAGTACTTTGTCCTGTGAATTTCTTGTTCCCTGTAGGCTGCTGCTAAGATCCTGGCATGTCATACCTCACCTCATTGTCTTTCCAGTCTTCTCTATTTTTCTCCTCATCCTTCCAAGATATCTCCACCCTCCATCCTTCCATCCACTTAGTCCCTACCATAGCAGCTCAATCTGCATTAGACTATGATGTGAGCAAGAAATAAATTCTATTTGCTTTTAAATATAATTTCAGAATATATTTGTTATTGCAGTAGAGCCTAACCTAACCATGACTCATACAAAAATTTGTATGGAAGCAAGGTCTTGATGCTTAAAAAGAAAAGAAAGGAAAAGGAAATAAAAAAAATGAGTGATCCTAAAATACGTGGCATCAGCTTGGGTCCAGGTATCAGATAGCAGATCATCTATATAACATAATTTTGTGCAATTATTACCGAAGTAAAGCCAATGATATTCTTACTGAATTTACAGTCTTAGGAAAAGAGTCTGGAAAAAAATGTTAGTAGCATGTGATGGCTGGTACTGACAATCCCCCCTCCTCCATGTATTCCAGGAAGTGATTTCAGGAAAGGATCATCAGGCTTATAAAAACAAATGAAAGAGATTAGGAAAATTCTAAGTCTTACAGAGATGGAAATTAAAGCTCTTTCTCAACTTCAAAACTAAAAATTAAAATTTAGGCATGCTTTAAATAACAAACATCAAATAAGGTTCATTCTTGAAATAAGAATCTAATCAAAGGTATGGCCAACACCCTAGAGTTAAAAACTCTGAGTTAGATGATAAGCAACAAACTCTGGTAACTGGGTGAAAATAGCTCAGGGAAATTATTTACCTACATAGTTCTCTAATATCTGTGAGGCCCAAGAAACTAGGATCTGAAAGAGAGAGAGAGAGAGAGAGAGAGAGAGAGAGAGAGAGAGGGAGAGGTTGAGAGGAAAGAAGGAACATGAAAGACAGAACATGAAGGAAAAAAGGAAGGAAGGTTGGTTGGAAGGTTGATTTTTATAGTTCTTTAATCCCAAATATAAGAAAGCAAAGAAATGCAGAGAATCTAAGATGTTTTGGGTAGGAAAAAAAAGACTGTAGATGTGATTACTGACAAATTGAAATAACTAGAATCAAAGACACAGACAACTGTCTAAATGTTTAAAAGACTTTCAATGCTAAAGAATCCAGGAACCCATAATAATATAAAACAAAACCTTCTTTAGGTGAGAAACAAGCTGAAAAAGCTTACTTCACCCTCAAATAATTGCACGGAAGATAATGGAAAGGAATAATTTCTAAGGATAAGGATCTAAAGGTGAAGGAAATAATGAATGTGGAGGTAGCTCCCAGGGAGTCAGGCCCACTGCGGTGTGGAGAGCTCTTACAGCGAATGACCACACGGATTTTAGAATTGATTTGAATTACACACTGACTGCAGATGTTTCTGATCTTTTTCCTACTGAATGGGAATACTACAGTAGTATTTTTTTCTTTTT